ATGGTTAATCTTTATGGTAGAATGCATTTAGCATCATCATTTTATCTGATGTAAGAAAGGTAACAATAATTTGGTATGTTATTGTATGTCATCATGTCTATATATGTTTGAGTGTGTATATGACTATGTGTGTATTACTTTATATGTGACCGTGTTATTGTATGTGTATGTGTATGTGTAAGTAATATGATAAAGAGTAAATTAAATTAAAATTTTATAGTTTATTTTTATAAATAAAAATATAGATAAAATGAAAGTCCAATTTTATAGCTTGCTTTGAAGATACAAAGAAATGTTATTGTTTGAGTTGTAAATACAAAACAAGAAATGACAATATACTTTTACTGATTCCTTTATCATTGAAAGATCTTTACGTCCCAGAGTCATTGTAGAATGATATTTTCTAATGAAATATGATCATATATGGTCACAACTTATAGAAAGTTACTACTAATTACTTATTTATTAACGTAATTTTATTATTAATAAATATTATCAAGAGTTGTGCTTTAATTAGAGAATTATTATTTTATGAAAGTAATATTTTAACAATTAACTAAAAACTATTGTTTCAAGGAAACCAAAAAAAAAAAAAAAAAAAACCTGGTTATATTCATATAACATGAATCTATAGGTCATGTACAGTTAAACGAACACTTTGAGTAACCATCTATTTGGACTTGTAACTAGCAAATTTGTAAGAAAGTGTGCAACATACTCTTGGTTTTGACTTTCTTGTCAAAACCTCCAACCTCCACTAGAGGCTGACTTTGTGTGTTATCTTTTTTTTTTTTTTTTTTTCTTATTCTCAAGACATGTTTGGCATAAGGTGCATACTTTCATTTAATGACAAATTTGGCTTGGTTCATTAATGGAATTATATAAGGAAGACATGAGGAAAAAACTAGCAAGGTTTTCTCTCTTCTCTATCATTGAATAGTTGCCAAATTTGCGGTTTTGGAGTCCTCTTTCTCTCTTATATTTCTTGCAATTTGGTGCTTGAACTAAATGCTTATAAGTTTCTTCTGCTTAAGACTTATTTAGTATATGTGTTGGTGCTTTAAGAACAACTTATATACAAGTGAAGACTAGCATCTTAAAGTGGTTTATCCTTAATTGTTGGATACTTCTATAGAAGCTCTCATTTGATACTTTTGTCATCCTCATCAATTTCCAACCTCCTAAGAGGAATCAAAGTTTTCAATGGTTGTAAGATTTTATCTTTCTATGGTTGTTAATCTTTCCATGTTTTGTAAAATGATCATTGGTAGGTTCAAAAGAGTTCTATGTTTAATCTAATTATAACGTTTTTTTTCCATTTTTAGTATTTTTAGGAAAAAGATTTTGAAGAAAACCCAACAATCATAGCATCCTATTTTTTTTTAATGAAGGTAGGATGCTATAATAAAGGAAATAAATGAAACTATGTTGTTATATTGGTGCATTAGGAGCTATTGAAAAGTTCAAGCATATAAATTCATCCTTTATTTATCTTTTATTTAGATATGAGAAGGGTGGTTTCAGAACACATTAGATGCTAACATCTAAAAGACTGGCTTACTAATTACATCTTGATGTGTACGAATCAATTCATCTTGTCAATGGATCTCCTTATTTTTATATACTTTATGCAAACTAAACTTGTCTAACTGGATACCTATTGTGCACGCGAATAAGAGTTTTGTTTACTTTTATTGGGTCATTCATGTGGATTGTTGGAGGCTTGTTAAATCAATGAGGATTATGGAGGTGATCTCAAGCCATGGTTGAACTTGAGAGGCGTAGGATGTATGGAAAGTATTTTCAAGTTCCTTAGATCGTTTACCCTTATTATTAAACCATTTTACTTATTTATTTTATTTTTTGAAAAGTGATAAATGTACGAAAATAGAAACCCCACTTTCATTTAACAATGTATTACAACAACCTAGTTTCATTTCTTTCATCCTTATGTTAGTTTTAAATATGGATTTGTACAGGTAAAAAAGAAGTTGTATTTTGATCCCATTAAACAAAGACAAAACTACAAAATTGGTCCCTACGGTATTCAAAAAACTTTGGATAGGATCCAAAAAGTTTTCAACTTGCATGGATAGTCCAAAATCAGAAATTTCCGGTGAATTTGGTCCCAAAATCATGAATTTCCTGTGAATTTGGTCCATGAAGCACTTGAAAGGACCGTTTTTCCCTTCTAATTTCTTTTTTTTGTATTTTTTCATATTTATTTTCATACTTTAATTGAAAATAAAAAAAATGTTCTCTCTCTCTCTCTTCCCAATCGAATTTGGTCTCAACCCCATCCTCAACATCTCCATTCATATACACCTCTATTTTTCCGACAACACCACAACTACCACCGATTATCACCTCATGTCCATTTCCTCCCTCTCTAGATTCTCCCCTGTTCTCCATCTCATCCCCAAATCGTTTTAGATATCGATTTCGCCTTCAACCATCACCACACTAAACCTGTCCCCTCTGCCATTTTCTTTTCCCCGTGACAACTAATCAATGAATTATTGTCGAAGAGCATAACCCAACTCCTGAGCATCTGTGTCTTCCTCTGTACACACGTTCCCATCTGATGAAGGTAAGACCAACAGTCCGATTTCATATATTCCAATTTTAGGGTTTTCAAGTTCCGATTTTAAGGGTGTAAAGGTCCGATTTCATGGGTTTCAAGGTCCAATTTCAGATGATGAACATGAATATCTTTAAATGTGTACTTTCTGGGTTTTAAAGGTCGGATTTCAGGGTTTTCATGCCCGATTCTGTGGAGGAAAATTGTGCTTGATGGATGGAGGTTCGTGTTTTCTCATCTAAGCAAATGTAATTCAACCAACAAACCCAGAAACACTTTCATTTGAGGCAGATTTAACATTCTCTGTATTTTGATTTGGATGAATATGAGAGGCATCAATTGATTTGAAGGTGTACTTGGCAAAGTACAGAGAGATAGAATGGGAGAAGAAGATGTTAGGCAGACAAAGCGATAAGGATGTTGGACGTTGATGATAGTCGGTGGTGACAGTGGCGAACGATGGTGGTTGATTTTACCTTCCATGTTGAAAGTGTATTTGAATGTTTGTGTGTTTTGGAGAATAAAATCAGAAAACTGATGTGTGTATTTGTTAATCAAGATGTTCATTCTTGACTATAAAGATATTCTTGGGTGTTAACAATGACAAACCCAGATGTGTGTGTGTGTGAGAGAGAGAGAGAGAGAGAGAAAGAGAGAGAGAGAGAGAGAGCGACAGAGAGAGAGAGACTGAGAGAGACAGTGAGAGAGAGAGAGAGATGGGTTGGGTTGGGTGGGGGATAATTTTTTCATTTTTCTTTATTTTTTAATTAACAAAGGTATTAAATAAATATATAAAATACAAAAAAGAAAATAAAAGGGCATAATTGTCTTTTCAAGTTTTTTTGGACTAAAATCGCGGAAATGTTTTGATTTTGGACTTGCCATGCAAGTTAAAAACTTTTTGAATCCTATTCAAAGATTTTTATAAACCACAAGGACTAAATTTTCAGTTATCTTAAACAAATGATCATGGATATGTGAATGCAATTGATGGTGGGGTGGGGTGGTTAGTTTTTGTCTTGTGGGATGAACATAAGTAAATGTGTTATGTGTATGGTTTGGTTAGTTGATGGTGGGGTGTTTGATTTTTGTAATGTTAGTTGATGAAGTGAAATCGTGTTTTATAGATGATTGTAATTAGATCGTGACATGAACAACAGGTTTCTTTTGTTATCAATGATCAATGACAACATATTAATGTTGTATGTTAAAAATTAACTCATATTTTGTATTTTAAGAATTTATTAATGTGTTTGTTGTTAAGACCTTGATGAGACACAAAAAAATATTTGTGTCACGTCACAAAAAAAAAACACACATACGTACAAATTAATGTTTGCGAATTACATATGACCACACAACTGAACATATGTATAAAACAATAGCAATCATATTGTTTTTCTTTTATTATGAATATTGTTTATTTTTATATGCACATAAAAAATTACATCGTGACAACAAAACTATTGTATTAATAACGTCATTTCTAAAAGTGGCAAAAAAATAGTTATAGTTACATGTTTTTTAGTTAATCGTTAATTTTATTTTTTTGCTATTATAAACATATAATAAATAAATCAATTTCTATTGCATAGTTAGTGTCATATTTTCGTATTTTTAACTTTTAGACATAGTCACCTCTACAAAAAGCGCTAAAAGACCCGGTTAAATAGCTTAAAGAAGCCGGTTTTGCAACCGGGTTTGATGCTGGCGAGTCCTATGTGAAATCTGGTATAGGACTCGGTTCTAAACCGGGTCTTTTTATTACAAATAGAGCTCGGTTTGCTTTTACATAATCGGATCATATAACACTCCCTGTACTAACTATCTAGGAATATTAGAAGCGGTTTCCTCCAATATAACCGGGGCATATGAAAACAAAATATATACCGGTTCATACAAACAACCGGGTCATAATAAACTTTTACCCTTTTTTTACAGAGTAGGTTTAGAACCTGGTTTCTAAATAAGCAACCGGTTCCTTTTAACACTGTTATATATTTTTAATATCATTTTATAAAAATAACAGTACAATACTTATAAACTATCAATTTATAACACATATTGTAAAAATAAACAATGTTTTTTATGTGGAAATGTTAAATAAACCATAATAGTCATTGATTAAAATATAATCAAACAAAGACAATTGTCTAAGTAGCAAAAGAAATCATGGATTTGGTAATTTCATACATCATACAACTTGCATGAAAACTTACAGATAAAAAAAGAAAAAAAAAAAAAAAAAAAACATTTGTCATGACTTGGCATAGGGATTGTACAAACAATCAATTGTAGTGGTTGTTTCTTCTAAATTCCCTGAAAAATAAACAAATGAAAGTAAAAATGTAAGAACTCCAACAAAAACAATTAAACCAAAATTAGGAAGTTTTGGAATTCATTAACTAATATATGTTTTTTATAGGACCACATCATTCATATAGTTATTCAAAAACTCTCTAAACCAGGTAGCAACAGTTGCAACCAACATCTTTTCTTCAAAGGGACTTTTGTCATCCCAAATGCTACTGGACTATATTAAATGTAAAATTAAACATATTCATTAACAAACCAAATATTTTGTTGCAATAAAAAAAATCAACAAATATTAAAAAGGTACTTACTTTACTTGGAAATCCATGTTGTCTTGTCGTCAAGAAATCAAACATCCAACGCATAACATAATGTCCGCTCTCTAAACCACCAAGTTGTTGGTTGCACTAAAAATTGTAGCAAAAAGTAAACACTAATCACACAAATGAAACTACAACAACTATTTGTTTTGGTATATAACAAGATGAATTACCTCAGCAAAAATCCAGCCAATTGGAGTTGAAGTGTTTTTTTCATATCTCATGAAAGCCCTTAAAAGAAATAAACAAGTGTTGTGTTCAAAATAATAAAAAGATTTATATATTGCTTTGACGTAAGTAATTTCTTACATGTCCACATGTTTTTTGAGTAGGTAATGGTAGTCGGCAGACTTTTCAATACGATCCTTAAGAGAATCCAAAATATAGACAACACGATTGCGAAGGGAAATCAGCAAGAGCACCCAATGCTTACTAGAAATGTTTAAACATTTAGTATAAATAATAAGGAAAAAAACAAAAAATAAATAAATAATAAAGATAAGAAATTATTGTACTTTTGCAAATATGGTGCAATGAGAAACAATTTTTCGTGGTGCGGACGAATGGAATCAACAAGATAACTAACGACACCCTCTGGGTTTTTCTGGCATGCCTCTCCTAGAATATTATAAGGGTTCAAGAAAGCACATTTGTTCATACGTGTCCGAACCATTGAATGAAGAATCCTACAACAAGAAAACAAAAAATGTTATGGTCAACTAATAATAGCAAAATTTTTATGGACTTACAGTTGCCAAGCAATTATGATGGAAGCATCAATTGTTTGTTTTCTCAGCAGTCGAAAATATTCTTCACATGTAACCGAAAAATCATATGTCCCAACTTCCAAAATCCCAGAGTCGGCTACAATGTTAACCACTTGGTTGGTCTTCAAGCAATCACGAAGATATTCAATCGGCCTCGCCTTGCTGGATGTTTGGTTGGGTATATTCTTTTTTGTACCAGCCCTTGAAATTGTTGGCACCAAACTTGTGGTTGGGATTTGTTTCTTCGCTCTTTGTTCCTACATTTTAATTCATTTAACGATGAAATACAATTATAATTTGTTGTTTACATAGTAGCTTAAAAAGTAAAGGATAATGCATATATACGTTTGCAGGAATAATTGCAATCCGGGGCCATTGAATTACAATGCCAACCGCCCCTTGTAGGTTAGCAACTTCTTTTGTCATCACAAGAACAGGAAAATTTTCATATCTACTATCGATGTCGTCTATCAGAACCTGATTTTCTCGTAAAGACAATGTGTGTACTAACCCATTCCCATATGGAAAACCAATCCCTTGGCACATTTTTGGTCCAACTCCCCATAGGGTAACACCAATTCACAAGGGGTAGGCATCTATACACATAGTAAAACAATAATAAAAATAAAAGCTCTCTGAAGGATAATAAACAAAAAAACTGCATAATAATGTAATAACTATATTTGAATTTTTAACCATTTTAAGTATATCTATTATTGTTCAAAACCTTCTAACAAAAAATTTTAATTAAAAAACTAGAGTCTTTTGTCTAAAACACAATTCTTACAATGTTGCATTTTCTATCACAAATATTATATTAAAATAATTTGTGCAATTATAAAAATATACAAAGAAATACATTACCACTTCTAATGATATGGAATAAAAAAATATTTAACATCCAAGAAAAAAAAATATTAGTTAAATGAGTTAAACAAGTATATTATCACTAAAAAAACAATTAGATAAACATTAGTATTCAGTTTTGTTGCTCATCCCTAGTCCTAAGCATAATTTCTCTACAAACAGGTTAACAGGTTTAGTTTTTATTGTTTCTAAATGTTACCGGAAAACAAATACACTCAATTACCTTTATCGCATCCAAAGCATCTAATGTTGGATTCGAGCCACAATTATTTTGTTGAACCCCTAAGCTTACATCATCTGGGGCATGGTTCCTAGACCCCTGTTGTAAGTTAAAGTGTGCTTGTAGCTTTGCCAATTGCGAGCCCATCAGATCTATCGTTGTCTGCAGTTTAACAATAGTTTCGTTTTCATGTTTTTTCCTCTTTTTTTATCAGTCCCTTGCATCCCTTTTCTCAATCCAACATCATGACCAACAGCCTTGGTACGGCCCGGGTGCTCCGGTCCTATTACCTTTGTCAACAAGTCCTCTCCTGGATTGAGCTCCAAATCTCCTTTAGAGATTTGAGTCTGGACATCGACCTGTTAACAAAATCAGCAAACCAGTGAGAGTAATTACTTGAATATAAATGAATAAAAGAATTTACTTACAAGCTTGTCCACTATGGGTTGTATGGTAGGCGGTATTATGTTCAACCCCAACTCATTTTTAGATCTTCTACCCAAAACATAATGCAGTGAACGCTCGCTTTTTATCTGATACAATTGAGGTGTCAATTGACCAGATGCCATCTCTTGTTCCCACTCAACTTTCTTGCCCCTATAACCAAGTGGTCCTACACGAGCAGGATTCTTATTATGCATCGAACTCGCCCTCGCTTTCTCACTTATCTCCTGCAAATGAAATTAATTAACATAGTTAAAAAATGCAACACAATAAGTAATATAATTACATGCAATTAAAGTCCAACACACTTGGAACTCCTTTGATGATATTCTCTGTCTAAAGCTCTGCAGTGTACTTCTTTCCAAATATGAGTAGGTCTCAAGTGGATCTCTTTGGTTATCACATTTCTTTTTAAGCCTTTTCTTGAAGGCTCTCCACTGGCTGTTGCATGTTTTAAGCACATCTTTTTTACGGTTGTCATCCGGAATATTCCAACGTTTCTGTTTTTGTTTTAGAATAAAGATACTAAGTATTAATAACACATCTTGATTAGATGAAAGTACATGTAATGGGTCTTATGTAGATAACAAACCTTAATCGCCAACCATAGCATATCTTTTTGAGCAATTGGCACTTTCTTCCAACTCGTATATTCAACAGAAATCATCGACCTCGTAATAACACCACACTCGTTAGCAAACTTACTTTGTTTCTTCCCAACATGCTGACCAATATTGTTGAAATCAACTTCTTGTGGCTCTTTATGGTCGACTAGTCTTGTGGCTGTTCTTTTTTTTCCTCATTTGTGGTTGTGGCTGTGGTTGTAGTTCTGGTTCTTGTTGTGGCTGTGGTTGTGGTTCTACTTCTTGTTGTGGCTGATCATTCATCATGTTTATTCTGGAGGAAATATATACAAAATAATATGAGACATCATAAATGTTACACTTCATGTGTTGTTACAGTAACTAGTAACTGCTTCAAGAAACACCCTAAAAAGCTCAAAAGAGGTTACCAATTTGAAGAGCAAAATAGAGCTACCGGAGGTATTATATTATAAATATAAACTCTACCCTTTTTCCCATTTTTATTAAATTTAGTTCTTGATAGTAAATATAAGAAAAATATTGTGTTTTGATCACTACAATCAAATAAAAATGAAAGGAAACAGCTTTTAAAAGCTCTAAAAGTTCATTTCATGAGAAAGAGAAAGATCTTCAACATAAAATAAAAGAATTGGAAACAAGATTAGAGGATCTTGATCAGAGCATTGTGATTTCACAGGTAAATAATCTTGGCAGAATCAGTGTACATACAACAATTCTGACAATCTACACAAGGACACCATATATAGCTTTCTCCTTTATTCACCCGATTCTCCTCTGCAACTTTAAGAAAACCACTCAAACATGCCAAATATTCATCGTATGAACGTTTAAGTCCATACATCTAGTAACTATGATCCATCTGTTATTATATAAAAGATATATGAATAACATGCATGTAGGATAACATATGCATTTAAAGACATATGTAATGTACATAATACAAAGTTAATTATACAAAAATATTATCGAGCACTTGAAAGTAATAAAAAATACCTTGTTTTTATTCGTAAGATAAGATGAAGAATATATTTATTACGGTTCAATAAGTTTCGATATGTATTCCTATGATTCAAATATAATGATGGAGATTTAAAAAAACCAACATACTTAATTATAAAATATAATGAGTTATTATGTAAACCAATATATTTTCTATACCTTTATAAAATTTTAAAACCCATGGCGGGACTTTTACCGGAAGCGGGATTTTTTCCGCCAAATATTTCATCGATCTTTAATCTTTTATAGAGACCCATTCTATACATGATAATGAAAAAAAAGGCAGAGACCAAGAGGAAAGACTGATAACCGAAGAAAGATTCATCGTCCCTGTTCATCTAGTCTCCTAAGCGTGAATATAAGGAATGCAGAAGGCTCTTGAATCTTATATTGATTTGAGGTATTATTTCTTCAATGTACTTCCCATTCAACTAAAATCAAGTTTAATGAAACCGAATTTAGGTTTTATGGTATTTTGTCAACACAATTTGAGATTTTCGTTCTTAAGACTGTTTGGATTTTCAATTCTACTTACATGTAAAGAAATTATATTTTCTGATTTGAGAGTTACCTTTAAATGTGTTGTTGATTGTTTGTGCCAGAGATGAAAGGGATTGTGTCGATGATATCTTCAATTCCAAGGGATATTGTGAAGGCTACACCGAGACTAACTTTGACTGTTGAGGAAACCGAATCTTTGCAATCTTCTATGCCATTAACAGCTTCAGACTCTGTTAAACTTAATATGTAAGTTTTTCAAATTTAAAAGATTAACCGATTCAGATGTGAAAATTTGAGCAGAATAGGGTTAGAAATACATACTTAAGACTTAATGAAGAAGACTATGTGTGCTTTAGCCTACGGTTTTCTTCTCCTTCAAACAAGATTTATCTATTTTCTGTATATATAAGTAAACATTAAACTTATGTTATCACATAATTGAATGGAGTTGCAAAGTAGTGGAATCAGTTAGAAGTATGCACTTAACTAGGATTACAGATACTTACAAATCAGCTTCTATCTTTTTTTTGCTTGGTTTTCTGCGTAGGCTAATTGATGAACAAAAGTACAACTCTGTTCATATGGAGTCTGTGCTTTTTACGTGTGTGTAAATGGAAGAATAAATAGTAACTAAGTAGATAATCATTTGAATTAGTGGTAATTATCTTTCAATTCATGTTTTTATCAATATCTATTTAACTTTAAAATTTAAACTTTTATTCATGATCAGTTAAGTATTTTAGTAATCCATATCTTATCTGTTTATTTTTTTATTTTTCATCACAGTGAATGATTTTCAACGTGATAAGGAAGAAAATATAGTTTTTATTTATTTACTCAAATGCGCAGGCATCATCGATCTGGTACTTTCTTGATATTCTATGGTTCTATTTGTACTCCTTGTTAATTTCTTTGTAAATGTTGGTGGGGTTTTTTTGGTTTATTGACCATTTTGCCACTGCTTGGTGTTTTTCAGTGTGGTGCTTGTTGACTAAAGTTTTCAGCCTCTATTCATCCATTTGCTTATGTTCTGGTTTGTTATGCTCTCTAGGTTGCTGGTGGGATACATATTTGCTATTTGGACATTTTTACCAATGTGGGGTGTTTTATTATTGTTTTTAATTTTCTCTTAGTTTAGCTTAGCTTTTGTTTCTTTGGCTCTTCTTGTTGCTTAATATTGTAGTTTGTTCCAACTTCCTTGTGTGTTGCTTAATAAAGTCATAGTTGTTCAAAACAAAAACAAGTCATTAAGCCACATTTGCATTTTCTAAATGAAGTAAAAACACCTGGTTGTTGAAATGGGTCATATGGCTTCCTAGTATGACTTGTTTTGAAAGTTTGTATAAGACACATGGTGTGTACAAGTCTAATATATATGAAAAATGAGTATTAAATGTGCAAAAAGCTGATGAAAAAAAGTTTGGATATAGTCCTGTTATTCAGGGAAAGAGAATAAGGCTCGGTTTTGTTTTAAAAAACGGGTCGTATAATTGCAAGGTTATAAGACACGGTTCAATAAATAAAAACCGGGTTATTTAATTTGAGTATATGACCCAATTGTTAATATAAACCGGGATTGATCTCATAGAACCCGTTTTTTTCATTATATATCTCGGTTTTTCCAAAAACCGGGTCCTAATTGAGGGCTCTTATTACGCTTTTTGTAGTAGTGAGTACATAACTAAAAAAGTGCCATAAAATACTTATAGTCAAACTATTTTTGTTTAATCAATAATTTGATTTACATTTAGACAAACATTTAATTATGTGAATTAAGTTTTTCTAGAATTCTTCGGGAAAGCACATTTCATTGTACAACAAAATCATATATCATATATACTTATAAAGGTTTTTTTTTTGAATCTCATTCATTTGAAATCCCCTTTTTTAGCTTCCTTTCAACATATTCATTTGAAACTCTCGTAATTTTTCAATTTCTTTACAATCTACTCTAATAAATGAAAGTTTTTTGCTGCATGTCATCTTTTTCTTCATTTGGACACATGATATTTTGTAAAAATTTTAAATTTTCTATTTTTCACTTGTCATTTTATTATATTTTCCATTTTATTAAATTAAAATTACACATTTAATATATAAGGTAATATATATGTAAGGTATTTATTAGAAAATGGTTTATATATGTAATGTATCAAATATATTAAAGTGTCATTAATTTTAATAATTTAAAAAATTTCTCATTTTTCTTATAAATTCAAACTTTTCAAATTGTTAAAATTTTATATTTAATTTTTTAAATAAACCCATGTAATACATGGGTCTCACACCTAGTAATATTATAAACAAGTTAAATAATTTTCTATAAAAAGAAAGCGTTTTTTATTATAAGGTCTTCATCTCACATCAATGGTGAGAGTAAACAAGAAAATGTTTCATCTTCTATAAATAGGAAAGGTTGTGAATGTTTCAAAGGGACCAAACCATGAGAACTTCCTCATGCCTACCTTTGTAGGATTTTGAAAGTATTATTTGGTAAGATTGTTTATATTGGCAAGTGTCCAGTTAACTTTTAGAATTCCAAAAATGGTTTTGAACCGAATTTTTTCAGGTTTAAACCGTGTTGCAGTTAGAAAAAAAAATTATGTAGTTGGGTATATTGAGTTGAACCAAAGTTGAATCCATTTGGATCGATAAAGGAATCATTTTCCTTTCACAACAAACATTTGAAACTCCCATGATTTTTTTAATTATTTCTAATAATATTATAAATAAGTTACATAATTTTATATAAATATAAAAAACATCTACCCAAACCTAAAATTATAATTGTTTGAAAAATCACTTTGATTCAAAAACACGAAAGATATACAAACCGGGTTTCACTAGAAAAAAAAAATTATGTAGTTTCGTGTATTTAGTTGAATCGGTCCGAGTTTGATCTATTTAGACCATAAAAGAAACATTTTCCTTTTCACTACATACATTTGAAACTCCCATGATTTTTCAAATTGTTTCCAATTATATTTTAAAAAAGTTACATAATGTTATATAAATATAAAAAAAAACATCTACCTAAACATAAATTTATAATTGTTTGAAAATTCGATTTGATCAAAAGCACGAAATATATACGCATATTATATTTTATAAATGAATTCTTTTTATAATGAACTTTTGAATCTTGAAAATACAGATAAACAAACTTTCTATATTAAGTACCTAACCGAATTTATGATTTTAGAATTGAACAAAAAGTTATTCGATAAAAACTTACTTTTTTGGATAGCAACTTAGGAGATTATAGACAAATATAACTATTGAACAATCAAGAAAGGGTAAACAAGAGAAAGGGTGTTTTACTAAATAAGTTGAATAATGTTTTATTAACCAGAAAGCGTGTTTTATTACAATGTCTTCATCCCATATCGATGGTGAGAGTAAAAAAGAGAACGTTTTCTCTTCTATAAATAGGAAAGGTTGTGAAATGTTTCAAAGGGACCAAACCATGAGAACTTCCTTATGCCTACCTTTTAAAGATGTTGAGGGTATTCTTTAGTCAAATTATCTTTATTGCCAACGGTCTATTTAACTTTTAGAATCC